ATAAAGGTATGATAAAATAAAGGTAATACTTATTGGACATTTTACATCTTGAGTAGGTATGTGAGAAGAAATTTATTGTTTTTGGTCGAGTAGAAGATATTATACAGTGCAGTACAGTACTTCCATCATATTGTTTTATTTGGTTAAACATATTACTTTTCAAAGTTTATATGTACAGTAAAGTAAGATTTTATTATTTGATTGTGCATACTGGTCTTCATAATTGTCTGTGTCTGCCCGAATCATAGAGGTGTTGTGTATCGTCATCTACTTGAGCTTCTTCAATAATGTGGCAGTAAATTTCCTATGTAGTTCTTAGCACGCTCAGTAGAGGTGTTGCTTTGGTGACGTTGCCTAAATAGTACCTGTCAAAATTATTTATATCTGAGTCATCATGAATTGGCTGTGACTGAATGCAGACTGTTGATATTAGGAAAGTAGTTTACTGTAATTAATGTGAGTAATAGTAACCTTTAATTGGTAAATGGTAATAAATGTTATTATTGTTATTACACTACAGGAACACAACAGTGGAGCAGTTCTACAAGGATGACAACACTACAGTTTATGTGAACTATTATTATCTCAACAACTTTGATAACATCTTCATTGCTGGAGTCACATTGTTTGAACTGACAGTAGTCAACAACTGGTTCATCATCATGGAAGGTAAAGTCATGATGGGGCCTCAAAAATGCCAGTTGAAATTAACAAACTTCAGGATATTAATTGTCTATGCATTAAAATCAATTAACTGATGCCTCTTTTGTTTCTTTACTTTATTATACAGGTAAGGTTAGGTTAAGTGAGAATATTAATACGAAGAATATATTGGGATAGAAATCCTGGGGCCTTATTGTATGGTTTGAGAAACAATACATCAGTTAGTCATTATAAGCACAGGAGTATCTAAAACTAAATGTTCCTTGACATAACTTCTCTTTCTTAGCACAATTTTCTTGATGTTGTCAGGTTATGCAGCAGTAACTAATGAGTGGTCCAGGCTGTATTTCATGCTGTTCTACTTGGTGATGATGGTTGTCATGTCTGTTGTGGTGGCCTTCATCTTGGAGGCCTTTACCTTCCGCATGGAGTACAATCAGACTGTGCAGGGCGATAAGGACAGAGGTAATTATGGTAACATAGATTGACAGAAATACAGTAAGATAGCATAATTTATGCAGTGGATGGGATGACTTATTTGCAGTCAACAAGGCTACAGTTTGACAAAGGATTTCCAGGATCCCAAACATGTATGAATGAGATTAAATTCTAGATGTTCCAGAGAGTATTTTATCTCTCTCAACACAACTGTAGCCACCAATAGAGTGGGTACTTGGAGATATCAGTTGCCAAGTAGGTGAAAGCTGAGAGTTTACACAGTTGTGCTAACACACACATATCTCAGCAACCCGTCAGTTTCAGTCACCTGGCTACCTTTATTAGGCCTCCTCCTTGCTTTCCCTGCGTCTCTTGTTTCCTCTAATGTATTTTGAACATTTCACCTCAGGGTAGACCATCTTCTATGCAGTCCTGTGTGTGTGTGTTCTAATATAGATATGTGTTATTGTGATGAAAGAGTTTTTACATTTGCTTTACTAATCCCTTGTTTACATGACCTATGGGGAGTGGCATCTTCTTTAGCCTTCCTCCATGATAACATACAAAGTCCACCCATGAATGAGGAAGATGGGTGTCTGTAAGAGTGTTTGTCTCTAGATATATGGATGAATTTGCTGTGTTGGTGGACTGTATGGTTTTCAGCAGCCTTTAAAACTATTTCTTTGTCCTAGTTCCAGGTGGATCTTGTGACCAGTTGGGTTTATGCAGCTTATAATAAATTTTCTCCCTTTCACCTCACCTTATGACTTAATACCTGCTTTAGTTCATTTTTGTTGAAGGATTGACTTGTAGTTACTGACATATCTAGGAAATTTATGACAACAAATAAAACTAGGAAAGAAATGTGACTAATTTTTTCAGATGAAGAAAATGTATTTATCAGTATGGACCTAACAAAAGAAGAATTGCGATTTGTATACAGTGGTGCAGTGGATACTCCCACTCTCCAACAGTATGCCAGAGATCTTGAAACCCAGGTAAGGTAGACACATTTATTCTCTTGTAAAGTGGTAAGTACAGTTTGTGATATGAATGATAAAAGCCATCACAGAGACACCAGTACAGGTTTTGTTCATAAGTCTATTGTTTTATTACTTACATTGTTTAGTCCAAGTTGTGTAAGTGTTTCATATATCTGTTGTGCTGGTGCTGTGCATGACAACCTGCATCTGTATATTTATTTGTGTATTTTAAAATTTTCTTGTTCTGTCTAGGGAGTTGTCAGGTATGAGGGTATGCGGAGGAGGACGCGAGATGTTCTGCAGCGTCGTATGTATCAAGAGGAAATTCCCGGTTGGTTGGTAGAGGCTGACAGAGAGTATCAGGATAGCCCAGGGTTGCCAGCTCCTCAAGCAGTAATAAGACAACACACAGATTCTGTACCCATAAGCTCTCCATCGGTGCATGAAACCTCGCAACAAACTCCACCTTCATTTTATGGTGCCCTTAATCCAAACACTTCCACCGAGACCCAAAGAAATGAAATATCATTCTGCTGACTTAAAATTTTCATTTGACTGTACTTTTATACCAAATTTCCTCAAGTATGGTAAGTAGGGGTAAGAAGCCTCCCTTCTGGAAGATTCCCCATTTCTCAGAGAATTTCTTTATATATATTTTGTTTAATGCTTATATATAATTGTCAGCAGTTTCTTATCTATTTTGATAAGTAATTCTTTATTTATTTGACTGGCACCTTTGGACAACTCGTGAATTATAGCTCTGAGTCCTGAGTTGTAAACCTGCATTAATCATATGACATCACAGACAAAGATTAGTTATGCTTCTCTGTCTCAACCTGGTCCCTAAAAGGATTCTTTGGAACAAAAGCCACCATTAAGGTGAGGAGTAATGAATCATCAGCTAACATGCAAAGTCAACCTTCATCCTGGCCAGTCATATTGGGATTGTCCTGGGTCCACTAATTCAGTTCCAGTTTAGACTTTATGCTCTCTGGACAGATCCCTGGTACAGTACCTGGATCTCCTTCACCCCAACAGGGACACTGAGATACAGTGTTTTGTATTTGTTGCGAGCAATAGTGAAGTATTGGATTGATCCACACAGTTCTCAATGTTTATGGCTTTGTGTGAGTCTTTCACCTTGTTAAACTGTGCCGAGTTCCCTAAAATCTGGATTATAACTTCCAGGATTGCACCACAGGAGGAAATGTAAGGTTGAGTGGACCCTTTTATTAGAAACTGTTATGTTGGGTCATTGTGATTGGTGTGACCATTACACCTAGCAGCATGATTTCTTGTGTCAGATTTTAGACTTGGTAGCACTGTTTATACCAGTCTCCAATGCCAAGAGTCAACCTGCATTAACAACTCAGGATTCAAAGGTTTCCAAGTCCTAGGGCCAACCATAAAATGGGATTTCAGAATCAGCTCTTCTTTTATTTATCAATTCCCCCCCCACCCCAAGCTTCCTGCCTTAGTAGTGTTGCCTACAGTCACATCCGATTACCTGTCATCTATCAGTGCAATATTAGAATTGTCATACAAATCATTTTATCAGGATAAATCAACAAGAAAATATATGGAGGTTTATATCTCTTCTAAGATTCCTCCATAATAAATATCCAAGAATTGACCTCTAAGGTATCATTACATAAGTTACATTCTTCCTCTTTTGCTCACCCACATTTGTATTCTTTACCGGATATTCCCTATTTTGGTTTTCCATCAGACATATAGGAAACAACATACCATATTGATTTGCTTTGTTGAAACCATAAGAACTGAAAATGTATATGACACAATTATGCAGTACCATATGGAAACAAATTGTGAATATGAGGCTATAGTTTGTTATGTATGAAATTTTAATTCAAGAATAGAAGTTTAAATTAGGAACTAGAACTCACTTATCATCTTTTTATTCAATGTTCTGAAACCATGTTACTGTCACCTGTTGTACACTTGTTAATGAGCTCAGAGGTGACTGGCAAAGGAGTCATCCATCTTTCCCCAGACCTGCTAATTGCATATGGTTCATAGCAGACTAAACAAGGCCAATCTTCTTCATCCTCATAACTCCTCCTTCAGTTTTCGTGCTGTTTTTGTCTGTAAGTATTATCTTTTGAAGTGTATTTTTTCCTTTTCAGTAATTTTTGTCTTTAGCATTAAGCATTTGTGTTTTATCTTTCTTCCAAGAATTTCTTGTATGGAGGTCCAGTTATTTATATGGGTTGTTCAGCTGTACACACTTTTAAGCACAGCCTTTATTGGAAAAGTCAGTTCAAATTAGTACAACTTTAACATATACTGTATGCAGCAGTTACTATTCTGATTGAACTCTGCTATGTTCTAGTGCCAATATTTATGCCCTGTTCACACTCATGACCATAGGAAAGTATTCAAGATTTTGCTGTGTCTGATAAGAGACATTACATACAGAGAATTGTAGAGTGGCAGAGATCAGAGTAAACAGTTCATATTTTGTTACAGGTTTAGCTTCTTTCTAAACTAAGATCTCAGACATGATAGTGAATATCCGAGCATTTATCATTGTTATTCACAACTCTAAATAATGAACTTCATGGACCTCCTGCCAGTGGTTGTGGTACAGTTTTTTGTACAGTGGTTGGTTGTGCAGCAGCATCATGGAGAAGGTGGCTTTGTAACAATTGGTTGTGAAGCAATTAGTCACCATTTGATTCCTTTGTCATCTTAACTGCACCAAAATATTTTTTGATGTAGAACTTGTCATTGTATTGCCAAATGCCACACTCATGATCAGGTTTTATAATACAAGACCTGTTACTGAAGTTAGAGGAGTCCAAAGACATGTTTTTTTTTTCCACATTTTATTCATTGCCATCCATACAGTCACCCTATTCATAAAGCCAAGTTTGTATAGTCTTTTAAGTCTACTCTTCAGTTTACTGGAGTAACAAATATTTTACTGACTTTCATGAAAATTAAATAGAAAACAGAAATATAAGGAAAGATTTTTGATATGTTGTGTTGTGATAAACTCACAAGTTATAGAAAATCATTTGATTAGATGGCAGCACATACTTGACATGAAATTTGCATTAATTTCAGGCTTACTTATAATGTGGAGAAAAGGCTTCTTACCCCTCTGGGGTGTTTTACTCAGACTCATCCTGTTAGGATTGTCCATTAAATGGTACAGGACACTGGATATGTGTAGGAGGCTGTTACACTTATTCTTATAGATATAAGGTTGTATGACATGAAATTGTAATGAAATACAATTCCGATAAATGGTATTTTTATATGTATAAAGCTATAATAATTTACCATACAGGTGACTATATTAAGGATTCCATAGTGCCAAGAGTGTAGTAGTTACTGAATGGAACATGAAAACCTTTTTAAGATTCTTCCAAACATAAAACTTTTTATAGCTCCTGATGTTTAGTCCAAATATGATATTAATTTATAACTGATTGATATGAGAACATTTAGTGTGTGTATGTGTATGTATGTTTGTATACTGTATATACGTGTATGTTAAAGATAGACCATTTGATAATTTTTGTTGTCATTTTATCCCAAACTGTTAGTGATATTGTTGTGGAAGCTGTCAGTTGTTTCAAGAACTTGTTGAAAATGATTGTTAGAATATTATATTTTTGTACAAATCATGGATTAGTTGAAAGATCTCAGTTGGTTTGATACATCTCAAAATGATCAAGGTTGTAACCTGCATAAAATGTAACATTGTTATTTTTTATAGTGCAAGCGGTTGGTGACTGCTTCACATTTGAGATAGCCAAGCCAAAGTAATTTCTTCAAGCAATAGCTGTCACCAGTGTTATTAGATCTTCAGTTCAGCATTTGAAGGAATAAAAAAAAAAGGTTAATAAGCAAATTGTTCTTCAGGCCTCACCAATATTTTGCATGGGAGTAATATTAGATATGTAGATATTTATATATTATGTGATTTTTAAATTATGTATACAATATTTGGATATATTCTATTGTACAGTACATTATAATGTATTAGAGATGTAAAAATATTGATACATTTTAAGATTTTCAGTCAATTGTGATATTGGGCCTTTAAGATTTATAAAACATGCAACATAAATCGTGACTTGAAGTTGGTCATCTGGATCATTCAGGAGACACCGTATTTTGGATGATATATCATTCATGTCTTGTCAGATCTAAGTCCAATTCATAAGATAGCCAGTGTGTGACTGTTGTAGTATACAGTCAACCCTCGCTTTAAGCGGTCCCACATTACGTTTTTCCAAGTTTATGCGGTACCCTGCCGAAACCGGAATGCTCACTTTCCGCGGTGCGTGTACCCTTTTACGCGGAGAGCAGCGCGAGCAGGGTGCGCATAAGGTCGCCCAGTCATCAAAACATTACCGAGTTCTTCACCCGCCACAGCTGGCCCAAGTCAGTGATAGTGATAATGATAGTGAAGATATGGACTTATATGGACTTTGAGGGATTTGACAAAGAGGCCCTGCAAGCCTCTGTGGTGGATAGTGATACAATTGATACAAGTGGTACAGGTGAGGGCCAATAATCTGCCCTCTGCCTCGTAACCAACCCCCCATCCCCGTGTGCCCAGCCACCTAATATTATTGATATTTCTCTTAATTATTTATTGTGTGTGCATACCATCATAAAATTAAGAAGTTATTTTTACTACAACGTAGGTATTGTGTCTGAAAAAGTGGAGTTTGGGGATCTGCCCGGTCTCTATTTCACTTAATCCCATATGTTATGTTGTTCACTTTACGCGGGCCGCCGTGGGTTGAAATAACCACGTAAAGTGAGGGTTCACTGTACTGACAGTATTGTCACACAGGTTAATGTTCCTAATAAAGCAAGCATTTCTTGCTATGTGGTTTTGATATTTGTTTCTAGTACAGTAGGGTCTCGAAGTATGTGACCCCGCTTATGTGGTTGACCCCCTGATCTGCCTTCACGTGGGGGGATTCACTCTTGCGTGAGCCAACCCACCCAGCATCTCTTGCTAGCTTCAGCGTCTTCCACGTTAGAATGAAGTGTAAACCCACCCAAGCATCCCTCTTATTTATCATATAATAATTTCATTATTATATATTTGTTTATCATTTAAACTTTTATTGTACTGTATCTATTTAATTATCCATTTTGATGGTGCAGCTAGTTGGGCTTATTGCCAGAAGGGTTTGCCTAAATAAATTATGACCATAATAATAATCTTGCTAGCTAGTTCATGAGCCTCATCATGCATCTTGCCAAGGTGTCACCCAAGCATCGTTCTCTCTCTTGCTCGAGTACTGTCACAACATCTCTCAGGCATTTGGCTTGTAAAGTTTTTTTTTTTTTGCCCAAATTTTACAGCAGTCATGGGCCCCAAGAGGAAATTTAGTGGCAGTGCTTGTGAGAAATGTAAAAATGTATACTGTGAAGAGAGTAAAGATATTGGACTTATTAATGAGTGGTGTGTCTAACTCTGAAGTTATGTGTTGGTTCTACATGAACGAGTCATCTGTGCTCTCCATTAAACATCATGAAAGTGAGATACACAAAGCCCCCTTTTAATTTTTCTTTTATAAGATTTCTATTTATAATATTAATGAAAATTTGTTGATCATTTAAGTCAAATCTCTACTGGACAGGGTATATTGTTTGTGGGAGTTAACACAGTTGTTTACCTTGGGTAGGGTTACTTTCTCATAGAAAATTGGTTTTATGTATATACGTACTCTATACAGGGGAGGAACCAAATACGTATACGCAAACTTTACTCTTACACGAGGCTCCTGGAATGTGACACCCTACTGTATATCAAAATTAACCATACAGTAATTAAAAATCCACATGAACCGACGAACAGAATAGAAGCTTTAAGAGATTCAGTGTTTTGGTAGTATGTGCGCAGAAGGTACAGAGGAATGGAACCCAAATTTCAGTGTTTTCAAAGACAAGCAAATTGCAGGATCTTTAAGAAAATGCTAGTGCCTGTAAAGGGAAAAGTGAGAGACTGTAGGTGTAGCAAATCATATTGGATGGCTTAGGGAAACCCACTTAATTTTTTTTTTTTTAATGAAGTGCACATGGTTGGCTTAGAGGTGGATAAAGGAGTTAAGAAAATGAGAGGGAAATAGTTGTAAGTGAAGCATTGGTAAACAAAAACAAAAATACAGTACATGAAAAGATCAGATGAGAAGAATAAATTTGAATAAATCATAATAAATAAGAGATGCTCAAGGTTAAGTTGGAATGACAGTGTGAGTTATAAGTATGAGGGGAGAGAGATGATTCTCTGGTCTCTGAGGAGTGATCATTCTCAGTTGTTGAAGACCAAATATATGAAAAAAATAAATAATGCAACTCATACTTTAAAATATTTTCCCAGCCAGGTTTTATCATGACAATACATAGAAATGCAAGATATATAAGGTGATTATCATTGTTTTGTTAATTAAATTGTTTTTCATTTGCTTAAGTTCTTTTTCCTCAGGAGGCAAACACCTCATTCACTTTCAGTATAACAAGATCTAATAGAATTTAGTAAATTCCTTTCAAAGTTTTGCAATATTAACATTGAATGAATTCAAAGATTAATTTACTTCCTATACACAAAAACCCTTTGCCATATATTGTTAAAACTTGGCAAAATAACAAATATTATATTTGGTGACAGAAGGTATCCCTTGTGTGAAGTATTTTTTTGTGATCTTTTGCTTACACTAATTTTGCCCCCTTGAAAACACAAGAAATGAAGCACTTCATTAAACTTACAATCTTCACTGAAAATTTAATTACTTTGAGTATGATACTGTACTTCAGTTACCTGAAGACGTGTTAAAAGATATTAACTAAATGTATACTGTAGACATAATATATGTGTTTAATAAAAAATTTCATTTATCTTATTCTTTGAATATGGGAAACACCAACTTAATACAGTACAATGTTCATAGATGTGGATAGCAATTTTATTTTATGAACTGCAGTTATTTAGGAATGATCAGATTGACCTACAAAATTCTTTCACATTCACAGCGCTGCCAATTTTGTTTAATGTTCCTGGCCACCCCATAAACCTTCAATTTGCTCACCTAAATGTAGATATTGTGTTCTTACCAACATATACCATGTCCCTCCTCCAGCCTATAGAACAGCATCTCATTGCAATGTTCAAGTCACTCCTTGTACAAATAACATAAGGATTCTCTTGAAGATAGTAAGCCTACAACATGATATTGGAGGAAGTTGTGGAGTGAGGTAGTGAACAACTTTCAGGACTTTTCTTTGATGGTTGATGAAGTTATATGAAATGCGATAACGAATCATAAAGTTGCAGAAGATTTTGAGGATATCCCAGGGCAAGAATTAGAGGAACTCCAGCAATTTCACCAAGAGGACTTAACAGAAGATTGGGAAGAGCTTATACTATAGAGCACTGACAGAGTGACGATGAGGAAGAGGTGATGAAACTAATAACATTCAAAATGGTGGCAGAGGAGACAGATGGACAAGGTTCTGGCTGATGATAAGGCATTGGGACTGATCTCTTCACAGGGTAAAACATATCTAAATAGGCACTGGAGGCTACTATGGTACCCTATAAAGAGACCTACTTGAACCTAGAAGATTATAGTGATGCAAGCAATCATTATAAGTTTTAAAAAGGTTTGACAGCAGTGCCACCACTACCAGGTCTACATCATCCAATTACCCACCAGCTACAGAGTCCAGGCACCTGACCCCATGACTCAGGTAAGGTTTAAGTGTTAAATATCTAAGTTTTGGCTTTAGCATTTCTTCTCTAAAACAGAATCCCCATAATATTTGAGGGTGTCTTGTAGAAATATTTACAACATGCCAGATCAGGGTAGGATTTACTGTACTATAGGGTAAATTGTTGACTAGTCAGAGGTAATGTTCAGGTCTCAAATCACCTCGCCCTTTCCTGCTATAATAAGGAGTTTCCCAATTAATTCACACATTGGTACTACATTACAATACTTTTATAATTCAAACTAAATAAAGTATCAACATGTTTTTCATTTTAAAGGTTTAAAGCTTTCAAAGTTTAAGGTTTAAAGCTATCAAAGTTGTTATTAATGAGCATTACAAATACACCAAATATATTCATGGTTTCATAATTTCTTCATATTGGACATTTAGCACATGTTATACTGTACAGACATTATTTCAGTTCACAAAGGCCAATGATTACCTGGTATTGTAAACGATTCCACAAAGTATATTATGAAGTATATCAATCATTTCTGTTTGATGTAATGAGCCATATGATAACTTAGTACAGCATATTGATTTAGTTACTTACACAAAGGTAAAGGTAAATAAAATTTAGTCTGGAAAATTTGAGAAATTCAGCTCTTGCAAAAAAGACTAAGATTGAAACTTACACATTAAAGATCACAAAAATTTAGAAATTCTCGTTTCTTCCAAATATCAAGTCCCCTTCACTAAGAGACTGTTTCTGAACATGTCACTAAACTTCTTATTATCTTTCTTAAGTTCTTGATCCACCAATGATATCAAGGTCTTTACTGCTGCGTCTGTAACAACAAATAAAATAAAATGTATAAATAGGGAATAAAATCCTGACATCCTGTCTTCTGATTGAGAAAGATACAAGTGACCAGTGACTTAAAGTATAACACCCACTAATCATTCAAAGATGTGAGTCAAAACTACTGTACTATCCTTCAACCCATATCAGGATCTTTTCATTTTTAAAGAAAATGATCATCATGTGAGATTTTTTTTATGGGGATTAGCCCACCAGGGCACAGGTCACTGACACACATCAGGGACTGGGGGGCAAAAATATAATAATAATACAACTTCATATTAAATAAAATTTATAATAAAAATACAAAATTAAAAATAAAATAATAATACTTCATAGTAAATAAAATTTATAATAGAAAATACAAAATTAAAAATAAAATAATGATAACAATAGCAACACTAATAATAATGATAAAGAAATGCAAAAATGAAAAAAAATCAATTGGTGAGAAACGATATACAGTATGTATGTTGTGTTGTCAAAGTAAGAGAAACAATTGAGACCCTGCAATTGTGTGTAAATGAGGCTTAAAGTCAGATCAGCAACCTGGGACTTGGTCACAATTTTTGTGATGCCATATGGCAGCAGGGTCTACCATTAGACAACGCATTATGCTTCCAATATCTTCCCAGGCAGTAGTACCTCCCTGTTTGGTAGCTGCCTACTACCTACTTCTGATCTTTGCCATTTAAGGCAGAAAGGTAGCTTTTATGTAGCCTGTAAAATTTTAATTGAGTGTCTAGGATAAAACAGAAACAAGAAAGATAATGTACCAAACATGAGGTGTGATGTTAGAACTTGTGTGGACAGACCAATCGTCATCTACTCTACAGTACATCCTGCATTACAAAGAAAATAAGCAAAACTAAACTTACACTACAAATAGTCATAAAGTTTTATTCAACATGTAAAAACTTATGACACTTGACCAATTAGGAGATTTTCTTGAGTTTGTATTTTGGGTAAATTTACACGAATGTAGCATAACTGAACTAATTGAGAGATCTGTAACAGGCACTGCAGTTATACCCACGATCATGATATTCCTATCAAGCCAATAACGTTTCCCTGCTTTAAAGCCACATCAAATAAATACAATAATACAGAGCCAAACAGCGGGTCAACATAATGGTAAAGTTTCTAAGCTATGATGTCACTGTCGTCAACTGTGCTACGCAGTATGCCATCACTTTAAAAATATATATTAATCATGTCAATTGACTCATTACTAATTTAAAATTTTTCTTTTGACTGTCATAAAAAAGTTAATTAACTCCTCGTCCCAACAAACCTACTGTACATACATTCATACACAAAAAAAGACAAGGACTAAATTATCCTATACAGTATTACGCTGATGTATTTTCTATAAGCTGTTTTATACATACTCCGTCCATCTGCTATTCTATTTGCTTCCTTCAGAGCCTCTTTAGCAGCATCATAGTCCTGGAGGTGGTAATGTGCGAGGCCGAGGCGGTACCAGCCCTTCTCATTTTCTGGCTGAAGCTCCGTCACCTCTTTGCAACATTCAATCACTCGTTCGTATCTCACAGGTTCCTGTTTTAGTAAACATGCTGAAAATGGTTTGAAAGGAATTAACATCTTAACCATGGCTCTGTACTGTCAAATTCTACAATTCACAATCCCTGCATCAATGATCTTAAAGGAAAGGGACCACTGGTACATACAGTACTGTAAACAAGCATCTCCCTCTAGGTCTGCTAGGATGAACTCTTCCACAATCTCCCCATTTGGGAAAGTATACAGATGACTACAGCAATACTACAGTAGCAACCTAGTGCAAATGATCTAAAGTTTCCTCCCCAGTAGCTCATCTCCCACGTTATGGATAAACCAGAGTAGTGAAATAGTAAGCATTCTGGTTGCACAAATCAACATTACTTAACATCTTTTTATTATTACCTTTGTTATGTTTTTTGGGTTGTTTTTACATAAAATTTCCCCTTTTTTTTTCAAACTATTTACATGTGAACTGGACATGATCGCTAAGAATACTGTACCTGCAATATTGTTGGACAGGTCAACGAAGACAGCAGTTACTTCGTCTTTAAGGTTTTGTGGCAACATGGTAGGTGATTTATATCTACCAAGAAATTTGTTGGGATTCATATCCTGTTCAATGCCTTTCATGTACATCAGCCCACTGAAATAATAACATTCCTCTTTATGCTGAAATGCAGTACTACTGTAAGTAATATGTTACCCTTTCTAGACAACAAGTATTTCTTAATTCGACTACTGTATTGAAAACAAAATGGACAATCAATTACATGGATTAGAATATTGAAAGTACTGAAACAACTGAAAAGGATTCAAAAACCTACTATAAGAAACTACAAGTGCATTGTAAAGAGATAAAGCTACTAATTGCTTACTTTGGTCATAGAAATACAAACATGTGTATGCATATTGCCATTCAGCTATGTTGAGCAATGTCCATGTTGGGAAAGCAGGTGCCAATCTTCAGTGCTCCAGGTAACTTCTTGTTACTCAATGGGAGGAGTAGGATATTAGTGCTAACTTGACTCAGATATCCTACCCTTTCCATTCTATCATATGGTTTCCCAGATCCATAAATAAAGGAAAAAAAGAGAGTAAGCATGGCACAATCATACATTTTCAGAGCAAGAAATTAATATACACAGGAAAATACTTTATAACATATATTACCTATGATAACTCTGAATGGCCTTCTTCACTTGTTGCTGCTTGAAATGTGTGTTGCCCTTCAGCTTAAACTCCTTGGCCTTTGTCAACTTCTGGATGATGATCTCATTTTTCCCATGAGGCGAGTTGTTTTCGGAAACGTCCATGGCAGTATCCTGGATATTTACACAATTGCTTTAGTTACTGGTCAGTTTAATTTAGTATGATAATTGGAAAACTGAATCCTAAAATCTCATTTTATGGTAACAAGAAAGAGTAATTTGTGACTTAGGAGTGTTTGGTAACTTTTAGTAACATTTCCCACATTTTCACTTTACATACAGTACAGTGGTGACATGCCACCCCTGAACCTCAAAAAAGACCTCTTAAAGCAGGACAAGACAATTATAGATTCTTTCTGGGTACATCAGGAATAGAGGATATCCTGCTTGAAATCATATACACGGTACCCTCGTTAATTTGGATTTCAGCTTAATTCGTATGGGCAGTTGGTTACATCTCTTACACATTGTTGGCAAGTACTGGCTCCAGACTGCATTTGTAACAGTGCCAGTGTTGGTCAAGTCTGGTGTTGAATGAGCACACACTTGGCGCCGTTACAACACTGTCTGGCAGTGTTCCAACAGTTCACAACCCTCACCCCAAAAAAGTTTGTCCTGACAATTTTTTGAACTTGTGGCTTCTTCAACCTTAAGGTAAGACCTCTAGAGGGGTGGGCATCCACCAACTCCAAATATGGATACTCAACGGAGTAATCTCCTCTGAGGTGTTTATAGACTAATACCAAGTCACCCTTTGCCTGCTGATAGTGTAAGCCAGGCAACTGCAGGTGTTCTAATCTCTCTGGGTAATTTCTACATTATATGATTATTATTTATTTAAGGTAAAAGTAATCAACTACACCTACCTAATCTAAACTACAATAGGATATGTTGGTTCATCTTATGTCCAATAAATAAAATCAGGTAAACAAAATCGAAGTTGAAACTGTTTTTTCAATGGCTTTTGGTGTGTTTTGAATGAATTTGATCTTCATATCTGGTGCAAATCAAGGTAAAAAGTGTTCAAAACGCATCAAAAACCACTAGAATTTTTTTTTAATCTAACCTAACCTAACAGGGGGGTCTGCCTCCTGGACCCCCCATTTTGTTGCCATGTACTGTTGACTACAAACCAAGAAACGAACGAACAGGAGCAACCAGACGAGCAAAAAGACCAACAGACCCACGTACAAACATACATAATATGTTAAATATCTTGCCTATACGTAATTTGCGCCAGAAGTGCCCTTGAAGAAGTGTCTTAGAATTGTCAAAATTACTGATTGCAACTATAAAGTTCCCGAGATTCGTTTAGTGGCAACAAGTGAAATAATACCTAAAATCACATAGTAGTATACGGTAACACTCAAAATGCAAACGGTGAACACACAAATGGCATCACAATGCGTCGACATACATTAGTGTTCTGGACGAAAAGAATCGCAAAAATAATATTACTGTCACTAAATTTGCATATTCTAGTCACAATATGGTATTTTCATGAGATAAAAAAGCATTTGTCTACTATAGAAAAATTCCCAAAAATTCATGGTTAATCATACCTTCAACCAGAATTACTATCAACCTAACCCCATAGTACATCACCTACCTAACCCCCATACTACCTACCATAATCCACACTGTCAATTAAACCCAACAATACACTATTAACTATGCCCAGGTGATATATAAGACCATAATGAATAATATCTAACCCAGGCCAATATCTTAAATTATTGGCCTGAAGTTTCGGCAATTCCTCCAACCATTCCTTCCTATTCTGAAATAAGGAACACTATTTCTTCCATAATAAATTCACCTAAAGTTGCTTCTTCCCACGAGCATGATGTCTAGCTTATCAATCAATGGATAAATTCTTTAAAATCTTTATTACTGGGAAGAAATACAATCTATGGATATTTTGAAGTTTCCACCTTACTGAGTTAGCATCATATATCGTGTATCTACACCATCTACACCACTGTCAGTTGTGATTGATCTTGTTAGTGTGAATAATGATAACTACTGACTATTTATGAATGTAAAATAACCTTCAAAACCAACTTACAATACCAAGGTAGACGATAATGTTGAAGACAATGACAGTCACTGCAAACCGTGTGAGGTTATGTTGACTTCCCTAATAATAATAATCTTTGTCTTCCCGTAACACTTACCCTTTATAACCACAATCTAATTTATCATTTAACTTCTTGTCAACTGATGTTAAACTTTTCATATAAATATACATATTCTATATAAACGCTTTTGATGACAAACTTGAATAAATATTTGTACTTAACATTTCCATTTTTATTTTAATACACGGTAGAAACCCTTCGATGTTATGTTATGTGAAGGTATATAAAAATTTATGTTTTTTATATATAGTATCATCATGGGTTGTATTTGTGAATAAGATAATTGTTTGGGGAAATTATTACAGGCATTAATGGCGGTGTATCGTCTGCGGGTCACAAGCAGTGGATGGCTCAGCGGCCCTTACTTATATTAAGTTCCTTCTCTTCTCCTGCCAGTGTCGCAGCTCTTAGTACACGTACATTAAGGCCACATCTACAATTCCCTGAAAAGACCATCCCTGTCATCAAAAGTTCCAAGGTACTGCAGTAGTTATGTGTTTAGATGAAGACCATAAATTGAATGAAGACTTGTCTTGATTTTTAATGTTTTAAGGAATAGACGTTAATGTGTTGGCCAGCATGTTATTAACTGTGATTATTGTTAGCTGTGTTAGTATTTAATGTGTGGCAGAAGACATGACACAATCATAACGTCAACATATGTTGGCATGAACGAGTGACTGTCAAGTGAACATCTGTACTAATAAGTGGGCATGACTGGATTTAATTTGTATTTATTAAGTAAAGATTCATACAGTATACGTATACATATAGAAACAAGTATTGAGGTTAATGCACAAAGGAGTAAGGTAGTAATAATACTTCTTTCCAATAATGTCATCGTACATTGACTGAATGATCTCTATCAATAAAAATTACTGACTGAACCACCTCAAGCCACCAAATGGTAGAAGTGAGCGAGTCCACTCTTTATTTCATTGGTCAGGAGGAGATACTGTACACCTTGTTTAGTTCTCCTAAGAGAGTGGAGTCAGTGATAGTACCATGCACTGGATCAAGGACGTAGGTTAACCAGAAACTTAAGCAAATTTCTCTATAGAAGATAACTTTGGTGTTACAGGATATAACCTGAACAATTAAGGAAATTTACTTTTTGTTATGCCGTGCTATGTGTGCCTGCTTTAATCTGTGAATGTGTTTTTACTTTTATTTTATATATTTTTTTATTGTTTCAGATGGAAAACAAAAAGAAACACAAAGTCCTCTTGGCATTGGACTTCGATCACACAGTCATAGATAACAATAGTGATACTTACATATACAAGCTTGCTCCAGGTCACAAGATTCCCGAGGACCTGAAGGTGTTGTACCGCAAGGATGGCTGGACGCAGTACATGGGCGAGGTGTTCAAATTCCTGCACAGAAACGGCATTACGGAAGAAAATATGCGTAGTTGTTTGAATGAAATACATTTGACAGATGGCATGAAGGAGTTGCTGACTGGTCTTCCCAGGGATTTAACAGAGTTTATCATAATTTCTGATGCTAATTCTGTTTTTATTGACCACATTCTTAAACACTGTGAGTTGAGGGACATGTTCAGTGAGTTGTTTACAAACCCGGCGCAGTTTGATGAAAATGGGTGTCTGAGTATTCAGATGTACCACCATCAAGACTGGTGTACCCTGAGCACCAAAAACCTCTGTAAGGGCGACATACTGGCCAACTACATCAAACTTCGTGAAAGTGAAAATATTACCTTCTCTACCATCGCCTATGTTGGTGATGGAACGAACGACTTCTGTCCGAGCTTGCGACTTAAGGAATGCGATGTAGTTTTTCCTCGTTGTGGATATAACTTGTTAAACTACATAGTAAAAATGGAAGCGGAAAAGGGAATGAAAATTGACGCAGACGTCTGCCCATGGGACACGGGAAAAGATATTCTTGAGCGATTATTGATGTGCTACAGTGAGGTTGATACTGCAGGGGTACCTAAACCCAGACTTAAAGCTCCTGCACAGATATTTTAAATGCTCTTTGATGTTTGTAGTAATTTATATATGAGAACATAATTTACAGCGTCGAACCAATAAGCGTGGATAAAAAGAGTTGGTGTTTACTCCCGGTTTAAGCTACCTGCAAGAGTTAAACAATAGTGCTCTTACATCTTTATATGTTTTCTCATTTTTACTTTAGTACAGTATAGGTTTTATACACTATACATACTGTAATTCTCTGGAGTAATTTTGTTATACCTGTATATACTGTCATGGTCACACATATTTAATACTTAGGACAGAGCCGCTATTTATATAGTTTTTCATTCCTTATAACTTGTGTATAAATTCAAGAAGGAAGCTTGATAACAGGGAGGCACATGCTCCTTGTACCCTCCCTGGGTATACTGCTGCCATTTCTACTAGCATAATGAGAGAAATCCCAATTACAGTACAGTACCTAATTTTTATTCTGGTCAAATTTGTTAATGGTCTGTACAGTACAGTTCATGTATTCCAAGTTTCAATGCAAATAGTACTGCAAGTATGAGAATTTTATAGTGTGAACCTTCCTTTATGTCATCCAGATGAAATGTATCATAAGTAGAAGGTTTTACTTGTTTAAATGTGGGGTTCAGGAAAGTTAATTTTATGTACATTATTCCCCTGTATCATATTACATTATATTAATGTTAGTATTTTATTCTGATATGTACTTAACAGATTATGTTATAAGTCTGCACTAGAGCTGGGTGATGCCAATTTTAATGTCTAGCAATAATTGCCAGATAATGGTTAGTATACTGTAATTATCATAAGAAGCTTTAATAACAAATAATATCTATTCACAAGGTTTACTATAATTTACTATACATCAGTAATCGCTTTTGTGTCATTGGGTGTGCGAAGAACTGCATGGAATGGATATTGGGTTAGAGCATAAGTATTTTTTGATATTGTTGGACTATGTATTAAGTTAAACCAAAAATATTACTGCATCAAATGTAGAAGACCCCTTCCTTAGGTGAATGAGGCTGCTGGGATACCAAACATTGTGAGGTCAAACGGTGCGATATCAACGCAAAATACTGGGGCGGGCTAAACACGAGTCCTTCCACCTGTTGTGTGTATTGTTAGGTACAGTGAAACCTCTTTAATCAGGACCATACTGTTCTAGACTTACTGTAGAATAATTCAGCCTCCTGTTGGTCTAGTCTTGGTTAATATGTACTTGGCTTGGCCTGGCATAATCGAGTGGTATCAGTTAATGTTTGTCCATGGAGAGGGGGAGAGGTCTGATGTAGTGTCTCGCAAATTTGATCTTTTTTCAAACCTAAATCACCTTATAAAGTGTTTAAAATGGGTTCGTAGAGAGAAAAGAGTAAAAAGAATTACAGGTATTCCTAATTGTTAAAAAATGACCGAGATCAGTCAAAATATAACAGTCGCAGGAATCATCGTGACTGACATAACTCAACATTTGTGGTGATTGTCTGAAGGGGGTTAAGGTTTAACTCAGGTAAAAGCTCTAATCAATTTATCCTGTATTAAATGTTTATTGTGTCCAGAAATATTGCCCCAGGAATATTATCCCCTTTATCTATTCATATAACCCACTATTTAATATAAAACTGTTTTGCTGCCAATTAACCTGAATTATAAGATGACTGACAATTGTTATTTTAAACCCGATGATTGATTATGGTGATTGTCGGGAATATCACCCAGCCCGAGTGTGTATAGACGTGTTTATGTCATCTTGATATCCCGAGATGAATATTCCTTCAATAAGTGCTTGAATATGAGTGATTATTTAGGTCAATGTGTAAGGGTATAACGGTTGCTGAGTATGTAACACCTCCTTAAATATAAAGCTGCACTATATGGCAATTTTTTAATAATATACAATACAGGTGCAGTTTGTCCTGTTATCTACTTCATTATAAGAAAGACGTGGCTCCTGTCATTGTATTGTTGTCATACTCATATGTATTTCAAAACATATACCTAAGATCATTGTGTGCTTCAGTGGGGGCCAGTAATATAAGTCTACAGTACAGCTTACTTATCACATGATGTTAGCAGTGATTCATCCCTTGTCTCTAGAGCTCTTTCTGTCCAATATTCTGATTTTTTTTTTTTTTTGAAACAGTTGGCCTTATATACACCTTTCTTGGCTGAGTCGAGAGAAACATTTCTCCAAACCTTCAGCCTGCTCATGTTTCTAGTGCCATACTGCCCCTTGGCTTGAGTGCACAAAACACATGTCATTAACACATGTGGTGGCTAATTCTTGTTAGTCATTGTGGTAAAGGGAGCATTATTACTGTGTACTGTATATTGACTCCAGTGAAGGACATGGCAGGGATGATGATTTTGCTATAACTGTTTAAGAATAATGTGAGAATGTTTAGAGTTACTTTGTAGGATAAGGCAGTCTGTCCTGTATAGTAAATTTTAAAATCTTGATGTGTGAAGTAAGTAAGGAAAGTTGTGAGTTTTTTTATTAGAGATTGAAGTTTAGGATAAAGATGGCCACGTTGTGACCCAGCATCCCTCTGTGAAGCTTTAACACAATCATCATTATATGGTCTTTCTCGTCTGTTGTGGGAGGTGTCAGGTGGCTGTATTGTACTATAATATCAAGTGGTGGTTAGTCTACTTACTGACCATCATGAAGGTTACTGTCACATGATGGCAAAAAATGAATTCCATTGCATTGTAACCAATATGTATTCAAAATTTTCACTCACTATTGAGCACAGACTATTCTAAAAAAATGAGGTGTACATGACAAGGCCCTTTCAATCCTTTGCTCATTCTATTTTTGAATCCTCCAACAAGGATTTTTTGGGGGAAAAGTAACCTGTTTAATGAATTAAACAATGTTAAAAGTTATAAAACAATAAAAAATAAAGAAAATTATCTTGGTTAGCAGCTGCAGTTCCTTCATTTCTTTAGTGGTATTCATACTGTAATAGTTTGGGCTGCTACCTCTTTCTCACATTCTCCTGTGCTGATACATTGTTTATAGACTTGAGCTAACTTTTATCATGATGATGTTCCTCTATACTGTACTGTACGTATCACCACTGTCCATCAAAACTGTGCCTATTTCTACCCATGTTACCATGCTTTTACAGTAATGTTTAGATCTACCAGACACAGGTATCATTTACAGTTGTCAGATGCACATTGTGATAAATATCCTTCCTCCAAGGTGTTTGTAGGGTAACTGAGGAGTCAGAGCAGCTGTGAATTTTCTGAGGGTGAATTATTACTGCTGGCAACATATGACTCATGACCACTCCAAGAAAAGAAACTGGGCAGGAAACATCAGCTCGTGTCACATATGTCGTAGGACTATAATACGAGGTACGTGGGAAGGACCAAAAGGATTGTTATATAATTTTCCAATTGAAACCCCTTTTAAGTGAACACAGCACATGACTTAAACTGTTATGATGCCAGATGCATTTATGCAAATCACTTAATCAATCTTATACTACCCCATCACCCTACAGATATTGTTTGCACTGTTTGTCCAAAAATTGAGTCCCCCAAATTAAGAGTCATATTAAGGTCATAAGATTATTAGATGACAAAGCTTAGATATGGTGTTCTATAGCAGATATTATTTCATCAATTACATTGTTTAAGTACAGGTTGACTATAAAAAATCCGCCAACCTCGGGACCTGAGGAGTGCTGGATTTTCGAAAATGCCGGAAAACTGATGGTTATATTTGCTGTATAAGTTTAACAGAAAATGACTACCTGTACAGTCCTTTAAACAAAGAAAATTAAACACTAAATGAAAAGCAAATGAAATTTTATTATATATGCTGTATACAGTAGTACCCCGATTACGTACGCGGTCAATTGTCAATTGAACCCACAGGGTATCACGGAAAGTGAAAACCCGTAAAGTGAACAACAGAACATATGGGATTAATTTCAATAGAGACTGGCCTGACCCCCAAACTCCACTTTTCCGACTCAATACCTATGTTCTAGTAAAAATAACATCTTAATTTTATGATGGTACATGCACACAATTAATACTTAAGAGAAATAGAGAAATACAGTCGCCAAGTTAATGTACATTCAAATAATGGATTCAACTCCCTCCCCCTCTTCTCACACTACACTGGCTGGCTCTTCCCTCTCTGAGAAATTTTGGGAGGAAAACCACTAGATTTTAAGGTATAGTAATAAATAATACCTCAGACTAAAGCTAGGATAATATAATTGACATTGCTGGATTCCTTGTAAGACCAGGAATATTTTGAATATAAATGTCATATATTTTGCACAAAAGATAACATATTTATTCAGAGTAAACATTATATCTAAAATTTGTATGTCTAATGCAAAATCTATGATGTTTATATTCAAAATGATCATCAAATTGTAAGAATTCCAGCAATGTAAATTATATTGTGGCCGGGTAATTTGTATGAATTTTATGAGCTAAGTCATATATCTTCATTAAATAAACAAAGAAATATTTGAAAATGCGCTCCGAAATCCATGCCGGAAAACTGAAGGTTCCGGTTTATCGGTTGCCGGATTTTTGATGGTCAACCTGTAACAGGATTATTGATATTATTTTTAACAAATAGAAAGCATAGAGAGAGATGAGACGAATGCCATTGTAAGAGCTGCTCACCGAGACATCCTCCAGCCAGAGATAGAAGATATATGAAGTAGGATGTGTTTAAACTGATGATATTATATGATACTGTACACGAAGGACACTACGGAAGGTAGGTCAACAGTTCTCAATATGGGGGTCATACTGCTTTAGCGTATTTAAAAAAAAATTGCATGTGTTGAGGCACATTTCTGTTATACTCTTGGTAGAACATTTATTTACACCATACCATAATGCTGGTGATGATTCAGTACCATAACTAAATTTTGCCATTGTTTATAGTGCAACTGAGGTTTGTGTTTATTGAGTTTCTTCAAAGAATTTATAGTCGAATCTGCAACACAAGATTGGGTGTTGATATTATATGACAGGACAGTATAGTAGTTAACACATTCTCACCATGGTGTGAAGAGAATACCTGGTCAGAGAACTTGGATGTAGGTCAGCTACAGTCAGTTGGCTGGAAAACAAGCTTCTTAAAACTTCATTCAGAATGGTATCTTTGCCAGTGTGTATTAGTGTTTTTAGTGCAACTTAAAACTTGCAATATTTGACCATCAGGTTACCTTGCAATAATTGTGTGCTGGCTGTGCCTCTCCCTCACTTCTATTCTTAAGTACAGTATGTGTAGTGCCAGTTTTGTCCTGGCACAAGAACTGAGACCAGAGGCTCACACACTGAGCATGTTTTTAGTGTAAGAATTGTGTTCAGAATCTTTAGTAAAGTATACCTCTTGAGTGTTTTATCCATTATAGATATGTAATTGTAACTTTAAATATATTGTAAATAATAATATTTTTCCAGTAAATGTGAAGTACTGTACTGTATTGTGTGCAGTCTATACTATTTGTAATTTTCAAGTACTGTACAGGTATAAGGGATATAATATAGTTAACCTTTCTTTGCTTGTTTCTTGTCTCCTGATATTCGTCCACAATTACTATGCTTTGATAACACGAACTAACTTTGTGCTCATACTTTATATTGTGTTTAAACTTAGCAGTGTTGTTGTCTAACTTTTAGATTCTGTGCATTAATTTCAGTTTTCCTTGACACGCATTGTCTACTTTTAGAATAATCTTCACATGAAACTATGGGTTTCATTTATATTTGCTGACACTGAACTGTATTGTATAAACATGTGCAGATGGGTTGTAAATTACAGCTCACTAACCCTCATGCCTGGAGTCATCACTTATAAAAGAAAATGGCCTCTGATATGGATGTTGCCATTAAAAACAAGTCACCGAGTGTAATGTTCAGTATTTTGTTTTTGTTTTTTCTGGCATAAATTTCTTGTTCAAATACTTCTTTAGCCAAACCTAACTTTAAATATCTTTGTTTAAAATTATTCTAAATGAAAAATAACCTAATCTTTATTTGTATACATAAGGATTATATATTGGTCACAGGTGTTTTTTTATATAAATGATCATCAGTACCAGTTAATATCTATTTGAGTAAAGTTTCACACAAATTCGTACAGATAACTGCCAGTGCCATAGTAAAACTAAAGTATTTTTAAATTTTATTTAAAATCAAATTTCATACATTTTATTTTTATGGAGTCCTAAAAAGCACTTCATAAATTTTCTTTGGTATATAAACCATTCATAAAATGGGTGTCACGAAGAACAACTTAAAAATGGGCGCGTAATAAACATTACACTGTGGGTACCTGTTGACAAGCCTTAAAATCAAATATCCTCTACATGAACACATAAATATCATATTATATAATACATCACATCTTTTTAATCTTCTTTGTGTAGATACAAATCCTTTTGGTTCACAGCGCGACTCTTCATGATGCGGGAGATGAGTGCAGGGGACAGTGTGCGCAGGATGATGGCCAGCTGGTGCGGCAAGGAAGCCACCACCAGTTCCTCAGATCCACTTAAAAGGCATCCAACAATTTGCTCTGCTACTTTCTCTGGGGTCATACCTGAAGCTGTTGCTGCATCCATGGCTGGTAAAATAACAAAACAAATCTTTGTAAGTTTTAGGAAACTAGTATGTGATTCTTGTACAATTTCGTAGGAAAAGGGAACCAAATTTATCACATTATCTACGATTTCTTTTTGCAACCCATTTCTCTGGTTGGTAAAAGGAAGACAGATTTGAGAGGAAAAACTGGCGAGGGGTTTACTTAACAAGCTGTACTTTATTTTATTCCATTACTGATAGTACTACAATAGTCACGCAAGCTAACCTAAGTACAAGGGCCTAAGTTCAGTTAACATCAACAGTACATATGTATCTATAAACTAAAAATGTAAAACTTATCACACTTTATTACTATCTACAGCAGTAACAGATCCTAGAAAATCATTCATAAAAAGGGACAATATAAATCAGGGTCTAACTGTATTGTATTAATATTAACTTACCTCCATATTTTGAACCATCACCAGTAACAGCATTTATAGAGAGGTTGGTGGAGATATACCCTGGACTTACGACTGACACACGCACTTTACTGTTAGCCACCTCAGCACGCAGTGAGTCAAAGAAGGCTTGTAGAGCATGTTTGGAGGCTGAATAACATGCCCTGAAGAGCACAAAAGTTAGTTATATTTGGTGAAAAAATGATCATTTATACAAGAGTTTGTTCACTTCAAGCTTGACAACTGTGGCCTACTGGTAGGGTGAATAGATTATATTATAGGACATTTAAAGCTATATGCTGACTTCATTCTCAAATAACTTATAGATTCTAGCACAAAATTTTGCCATGGCCATTAAAGTCAATTTGTAAAGTGAAAGTGAATTGCAGTTTTGAGAGATGTCAGCATGATAATCTGTCTTGATATAAGTACAGTACACAAACTACAGTATATATCTATTTAATCACTGAATAACTTATATAACCAGAGCCTAAAAGAAGAAAAACTATAAACAGGTACACAAGATAGCAAGAGAAACAAGCTTAAATTTATAACAATAAACAATATTAATTTTGGAAGAATATGGTTGTACGTCTTACCTATAGGGAAGGGCAAGTTTACCCTGAACACTGCCAACCGCCACAATATGACCTGACTGCTTTTCCACCATACTGGGAAGAATGGCTGTACAGTACAAGGGAAAAGGTTAAGATTAGTCAATAGTTGGCAGATACTTTTAATAGATACAGTGATCCCTCGGTTAACGAATTACAGTACCTTCCATAAGAATCTTCATTTCAGTTAACAAAAAAACATTTGGTTAACGAAATTCTTACGAAATCATGTCAACATGTTTTTGCTTGCTAACCAGCTGGAATATTAGTCCGCCAATACAGTAATCAGTTCTAGGGCTTAAATTCGTTCCCATTTGAGTAAATATCAAGACGGTTGTACTATTCAATAATTTTCCAAGTTTTATATTAAATTTTTTAGTCATTTCAACACTTATTTAACATAATTGGAGTACAGGAAACTAGTTTTTAGTGCACCAATCAGCCACTTGACTCGCCAACCAAGGCGTCAGTTTGTATCTCTGGTCAGTGGAGGTAACATCTTGCTTGTGGCTCTCTTGAACATAAACTACCGGTATTTTTACGTTTTTACAGTACGTATACAATTATTGGTCATTCTGAAATTTATTTTACTTATTGACAATATATAGTGCAGTGCAGTGTTGATTTAAAGAAAATAATCTTGAATTACACCTAGTGAACTTAAAATTTTATGGGTAAAATGACGGCATCAAGCATGGGGTGATTTCTCTTCCACCCCCACTTCTAATTCCCATCATCATCATCAACCAGGAGCCTTCTAAAGACACACCTCAAAGTAAGTGTACTTTACTGCATTTATTTTTACTTTGTATGTAATTTTCGGTGAGCTGGAACCAAAAATCCCATTGAAACAATGGTTTCGGTTAAAAAAATTTTCAGTTAACAAACGAGCTTCTGGAACGAATTGTGTTCGTTAACCGAGGGACCACTGTAAATATACAGTATATTCTAACTGACCTCATAACCTAGTGACTGGGCAACTGTGAGCTAACTACAGGTATATCCTTCCTATTCTCTCTCTCTCTTTGCCCTTTAGCTATGATTAATGTAGAGTCTGGATTTTTGCAATTGCCGACAATTACCGCCCCAAATTCCTAACCACGTGTTTTCTAGGAGTGATCCCTTGCATCTCTGGAACCTGTACAACACCCAACAATACAACACAGAGTGGTGAGCAGGTTGTGTAATTCGAATATCCAATGCCTGATACTGTATAATTATGCAGTGGGATGGAGGGCATTATACTCGTGACAAAAGTCCTCAGCATATGGCTTGTTGGACCATCAATAACTACGAGCAAAGGAGATAATGTCAGCCTAAAATAATGAATTCTAAATGTTGCTATCACTCCCTAATCCATTGGTTGAGTTATGGAAGTGGTGTTGGGTGACCTTAACATGACCCAAAGATTAGCTGGTAAGTCATACACTTGGGAACAGAGTCCTATGTACTGTATGTATCAGATAGGTCTTGATTTTCCCACCCTGTTTCAGATATGACGGAGCAGCCTTCTTATGGGGTTGTGTCTGCTATTTTTGAACTACCAAAATGAGTTCTGAATTAATAGGAGCCACCAGGTGGGTGTCACACTGTAAAAAGTTTGTTTACTAATATTCTATAAATACATAGAAGAAAAATAGCAAATTTCATAAGGGTTCTGTTTCAAATTCCATAAAATATAGTGCTATACTAACCTTTTGTTAGAGCCACTTGCCCAAAATAATTTACAACCATGAGCTTGATATCAACACTGATGTCAGTGTTCAAGGCTGCACCTCGGAATGAAATGCCAGCATTATTGATTAACACGTCTATGTGTCCGTGGGTCTTGAGGATTCTGTCTGCCACCACTGGAATGCTGTTTAGATCCTCCAGGTCAAGTTTCACCACTGTGGGAACATGGAGCTCTGGCGTCTGGAATTCAATACAGTAGATCAACATTATTTTAACTGTTGTACATGCCGTTTCAATACTGATCCAATGTAGTTTTTCATAAATCGGAGAACTGTTTGGTGAATACATGTCCATATTTTTGAGAATAATTAACAAAAAAAAAAATTAATGTGTTAAGGAATATCAGTTAGTTGTTGCCACATTACCTTGTAAGTTTTCAAAAGGATTTCCTTGAGTTCATTTAATTTGTCTGTATTTCGAGATGCCAAAATCAACCGAGCCCCGCGCTTATAAAGAGCGTGTGCGAGAGCTTCTCCGAGACCAGAACTAGCACCAGTGACCAATATAACCTGTGAAATATAAAAGACAGTACTGCAGAAAACTAGGCACCAACATATCTTTACCCCAGAACCCAAAGTCTACAATGTTTCCTTTATATCTGATAATTCAACAAGGTCTCAGAAAATACTATTATATTGCACCAGTCACCACAGTGCAGTCATACAACTTTTTACTTTAGGAAAGACCAGCTCTTAAAATATCCCGAGTCCAACAAGATAAACAGAACCTCGAGTATGATTTGGGGTCTTAAAGGCATGCGGAGAAGCTGTACACAACCAACTACGGGAAAAAATACATAAATATTACTGTACTGTTCAACATGGATACACACAGCAACTCTTACCTTCCCAAGTAACGCTGAATCACCAAAGACCATACGAGATACCATTGACTGTACTACTCTGTACATCAGCCGTGCTGCTACAACAGGACCCATCACTGTTAACGTTGCCCAACCTGCCACATTAAATACACGAATATATATATAAATTACAATGTAAAATTTTCAGCACATAATTAAACTATACACACCCTTACATATGTTTCTTGGTGACTTTATAAAGTTATCCCACACAGTTAAACATAAATGAAGTATAGTAATTCACTTTTCAAATGGGCAAGCTGAACAAGAATTCCAAAAAAAATTTCTAAGCACCAGTTCCAACAGCTTTTTTGACCGAGGTTGGGCTCGGCTTGACATAAGTAGTAGCAAGAAGATCCATGTTGTTGGTGTGTCTCAGTCAATGTCCCAACCTCCACTGAGTCTTGCCACACCACAATCCCTCTTATATGTGAGTAAGACATGAATTGCAAATTTTTATTTCTTCAGCTTCATTTAGGGACAGAATGCAATACAGGATAAATTTAACATATACTATCTAAAAACCATAGTCAAGAATAACCACTCTGGTCATTGTTAACCATAGCCTAAAAATCATTCATAATTCTTGCTGTAAATAAATTATAAATAAGGTATTGAATGTACATCTGGCATCATGAGAGTATCAATGACAAGGTCCAATGTTCCTCATTAATTCTGAGCCAAATGATTTGTGAAATTCTTAAACTCTTAAGGAGCAGTGACACTGATGAAATGTAGGCCAAGCTAATATTAATACCAGAGTTTCTGTGCTGGTAGTCATACAGTTAACAACTATATTATATGACCAAAACAAACTGTAATAAATGTTCCAGGGTATAAATAGGTGTGGATTAATTCAACGTGATAACGATACTGGTTGCGATATACTGTACTGTACTTCACACAGACTAATTTATAGAATCTTAATTCGTGTTATATAATACTGTCATTTACATTTTAATTAACACAGTAAAGTTTACCCCAATCAAGATGTAATCAATTCACAGTGACTTAGCTAGGTCTTAGGTCTTGCTTGTGAAACTTACCAATAAACCAAGGTATGGAGCTCCAGATGGGCAAGGAGCGTGTCTGCTTGATGGCTTTATCAAGATAACCCACCCAACTGGCCTCACCAGATATTTCGTCTGTCATTTTGTTTTTTCTGATTAACTCCCTAATCTTGGTGCATCCTTGTCTGGAAATACCAAAGAGCTTAAATGTATAATTGACATGTAAAGAGATCCTAATGATGCTACAATACTTACCATGCCAATTTTTTATCTATAAAAAAATTTATAATTTAAGTACCTAACAGAATAGTATTACTGTATTACTGTCTAAAATGCTCGGACTATTCCTGCTCATATAACAAACAAAACAATATGGCATTGAGTAGGCAATGGAGAGGGAGTATCCTTAAGGGAAAACTAGGAAAAAAAATCGAAATATATTATTCCTCCACTCAATTTGCTTTATTCTTGAGTGAAGAAATATGTTTTCTTCCGTAGATATCTTTTGTTAGGTAGCTGGTTAACCCGGACCCTTGTTCTTCAATATTACGAAAATTTGCTCATAATTTCACCCTACTTAGGGATTGAATCAAGGACCACTCAGCTTGAGATGTGAGCATACTGACCACTTCACCATAAGTCGCCACCCTCTCTACACTATCAGTCATTACCCTACACTCGTGGTAATCAGTCAATAGTCCTGATTGATCTAAATCATCACTGTACACTATTACTCTTTACTTTCAATATTCATCCGCCAAACACTTATCAACTCATCAAAATACACTATTAATTCACCACCAAAATATATCAATTTATCATCAACCTACACTATTAATATGAACCTACTTACACTATCACTGCATCATCACCCTACAGCATTAACTCGCTGTCAGACTACAAACACAATCATCATGACCTTACACTCAGTTATACATCAATCAGTATGATCTTCAGGGGGGTCACACTTGAGAGGTTTCCTTCCATCCTCAGCAATCTTTATAGGAGTCTGCTGTTACCCTTGACACTCCATGCACGGTTGGTACTATTTTAAGTATTTAATCATATATAATACTCACGTGAAATAGTAAATGTCTAGCACACTCCGCTGGATGCATAGAAGAGGGCTAAATCTTCGGGAAAAGGGGTCTTGTGAGAGGAGAAAGCAGCACCACCCCTAAACTCCTCATTCAGCCAGGTACTGTTGAGGCAGACACTGACAGACACAGACGTAAACAAGAGATAGGAGAGTTGTGACGTCACGGTCGGTCATGCGTCCCTCGACCTCTTTACAGCAACCATCAATGTAAAATAAAATATGCTATGCGGGGGATACTATTTGAATATCGAAATATAATGCTGTTTATATATAAATTATTAGAATCAATATCAATGTTAAATTAATTAGGAGAGATAATATGAATTTTCTAAGTTAACCAGCTAATGATAACCTAGTGACCCCTTTATTATAAATAGATATGAGGTTGTAGTGGATTCCTCCCCTACAAACGCTGTTTGTCGCTGAGTAGCCGACCCCGCGAATTCCCCAGTGTATGCCTCGTGGTCTAGGTCAACCAGCGCCGCCTTACATAGCGGAGGTCAACTATTAAGCCACGCCTACCTCCGCTATATAAGACCTGACTTCGTGGTGACCTACCTCTAATAGCTACAGCCGCAGCAAGCAACACCACCTCCTCCGCCGCTGCCTGGCGGCCCTCGCTCCTGCCGGCGAGCACGGCAACCCACAAGCTGTCCTCCTCTGAGCACCCTCACCAACCAGCTCTCTCTACTCAACGCTTGTAGCCATGCTGCCTTCCCAGCACCAAGCTGCATTGTACATCCAATATAACAGGTATACAGAGAGCACATTGTGAGTTTCCTTTCTCCATCCCATCCTGAGTGTGAACCCAAACAACTCGTACCCCACAATATTTTATTAGTAACAATATTAGTAGTAGTGTATCTTGTAACCACTTTGCGTGATGGGAGCTTTCTAATATTTGTTGTCTCAGAAAGGAGATCTATCATCGTCTGTTTACCTCGAGTAAAGTAAAGTTGGGGTCGGGTCGGCCATTTTTGTTTTTATATATTTACAAGGATGGTGTTACGTAACAGCTCCGGTAATTTGCTGATAAAAGGGCAAAGGTAAACTGTCGTGTACCGAATTGTGTTTCGGCGATACGACGAACACCTTCTTTAAGTTCCTTTCTACGGAATGGCCTCCAGTGATCAGTGAATATAACAAAATACAACTTCGTTGCTCTAAATCGAACCACGAAAGACATTTCAATTCAATTTCAATTGTTTATTCCTTGATCGAGGAAGCGGGATCCTAGTGCTGTCACTAGGTACCCCTGTACAATAACACCAGAAGCATCTGGCAAGTGTGACAAGTGTATACAGTATGAATATTATAAAGGGGCTTACTAAAGCCTGAGGAAGGAAGGATATTCCTTTAACACATAATCAATGTTATTTACATAATATCTGGCCAGTATGGGGCGGATCATCGTGTCTCCGTCAGGGGGTCGTGGAGTGGTGGTCTAGCAGGCGTCACGGAAGCGTTGTGTGTGGGGACATCTTAGGAGGTAGTGGATAAGGGTGCGGCTGTCAGGTCTTCTACATAATGCACAAGAGCGTTGCTCAGGGGATGCGGGGATACCAATCTCCCAAGCAAAGTCATACCCAATGACGATACGGGGAGCAATCAAGTCCCTATTCCGCCACCCTTTCCCATAGACATACGAGAGGTCAGGAAGTTTACGGAGGACATCGTACCAGGTGGGCGGGGAATCCAGGGGGATGGCTGCTTCCCGAGCTTCTCTCTGTTTGCGGCGAATGTGGATCCTAAGCTGTAAAAGTGTTCGGGGAACAACGTAGTCAGGTGTGGCCTTGTTGCAGCCAGTCTTGGCAAGGCCATCTGCTGCCTCATTCCCCAAGATACCGACATGACTGGGTATCCATAGGAATGTCACAGGACGGCCCGCATCCTGAAGTGTGGATGTTAACCCTCGTATTCGGAGGATGAGGTCCTTATTTTCCCCTGATCCAAATGCGATCCCGTCGAGAGCAGACCTGGAATCGCAGCAGACAAGCAAGGGGCAGAAACCATCTGCTTCTTCCTCAGCGAGAAGGGCAGCAAGGAGGGCTATTAGTTCAGCCTGAGTGGAGGATGCCCCATCAGAAACTCTGAGAGACAGTTTGATAGGCTCAGGGGCATCAGGACTGGAGATGTAGACACCAGCCCCGGCCCTACCTGTAGCGGGGTCAACAGAACCATCAGTGTAGAAGACGACCCTACCTGGAGGCCAGTGGGCGATCCTGGAGAGGTGGTATTTGCAGAGAATAACAGGGTTCACTTGGGATTTCGGGAGCGGTCCACCGAGGGCAATCACTTCAGGTTGGAAATCCAGCCAGGGAGAAGGAGACGAACCAACAGCAGGGGTGACAACAATATCAGGCAGGAGGTCGTGTTCCTGAAGGGCTCGGATGAGTGACCCTCGCCACTGACTTCTAGATGGAGGTCGGCCTCGGACAGCAGGAGTCAAGTTGGCTTGAACATAGTTGCCTCGAGGATCCTGTAGAATGGAAACGGCAGTTTTTAGGTAAAACTCCTGGACACGATCCTGTAAGGGGGAAAGACCAAGTTCAGTATATAGAGAAGTAGAGCGTGTCCACTGACGAGCCCCAAGGATGATACGAGCAGCTTTCCTCCGGATAACTTCGAGATGGTTGACAGCAGTCCGACTAATGTTGACGAGGGCAGGGGCGGCGTAGTCGACACAGGAACGGACAAACGACTTGTACATGGTGAGAAGTACAGGGATGGTGGCACCAAGGGAACCCCTGCACATGATAGAGAGGGGAGCGAGACGCCGAAAGCATATGTCTCGAAGATAGCGGACTTCAGGGATCTGACAATGTGTGCGAGTTACATACACACCCAGGTATTTTGTCTCATTAACCCAGTCCAAGGGCGTTCCTGATAAGAGAAGGGGTGGAGGTACAACACGACCGTGCCACATGGCTTTTGTTTTCGCAGTTGAAAGAAGGAAACCAAGTGAATCACACTCTCTGGAGACCAGATCAAGGGCTTCCTGCATGCTGAGGTAGTCAGGGGCTTGTAGGAGGACATCGTCGGCATATCCTGAGTGGACAACTTCTGTCGGCCACGGGAGAGATGCAATGGAGTGCATGAGAGTGTTAAACAAGGTGGGACTCAGGACTCCACCTTGAGGGGTGCCGAGGTTCATTTCTTGAACAGGAGATATAGAGCCTTCAACGCGAACCCGGGCCTGACGTCCAGTGAGGTATGAGGCGATCCATTATAGAAGTCTCCCTTTAGCCCCTAACCGCGCAAGTTCAGCTAAAATGAGGGCAGGGTGAGCCGTATCAAAGGCTCCCTTGATATCAAGGAAGAAGGAGACGCGGGCAGTCTGATTGCAATAAAAGGAAGCAATGGAGTGTGCTGTGCTGCGATGTTGTATGAAACCATTGAGGGAGTTGTGGAAGCCGCCTATGGTGTGAAGGTGACGATGGAGTATCCTCTCCATCATCTTGCAAACACAGGAGGTAAGACTAATGGGTCGATATTTCCCAGGACCTCCCGGCTTAGGGATGGGGATAATAGTGGCATTTTTCCAGTTAGACGGGAGAACCCCATGTTCATAAGACATATTGTAGAGAGCAAGCAAGGGGCCGTTAGGAATATTAGTACAGGCGTTGAGGACGGAGTAGGTTATCTGATCATCCCCAGAAGAGGTGTCTTTTCTAGAGCGACGAGCACTGTCAAGCTCGAACTGTGTGATGGGATGATCAGTGGGGGCAGGGGAGGTAAGAGCAGCACGAACAACAGGCTCAGACGCATCGATGCGAGCCTGCACTGCCTCCTACATTGGATCTGGAAGTGCCTCAGGGGAGGAAGCTCGTGCCCAGTCCTCCATTAAAGAGCAGGCAAGGGAGGCGGGATCAGGGTGGGGAGGAGGCTTCCGTCGGGTACCCCGTATAGCATTAATCCGATTCCATACATAAGAGGGTAACGACTGGAACGATAGAGACCCCGTGAAAGATAGCCAGTCCGCCTCACGAATCCGACGACGCTCCTGAGTTGCAAAGGAGCACCAATTTTTGAAGTCTTCCCAGTCCTCTGGAGAGCGAGACCTCCGCATGGCAGCGTGGATATCACGGGTTACCTGCCGGAGATGTCTCATGGCAGGGATATGATACCAGTAGTTGATGGCACTTCTGGGGTGACGGGGAGGGCGTGGAGGGGTAGCCCGATTGACAGAGTCATACACGGCATCAACAAAATCAGCGCTGTAAGAGTCAAGGGACTGGGGGACAACATAGGAATCCGCCCCGGTAGAAAGGTATTGGGTAAAGGAAGGAACAGCATCTTGTGTGAGACGAAGGCGAGGGGATCGATAAGGAGCTGATGTCGGGGCAGAGAAGGAGAGCCTGAGATGGGTAGTAACGGCAAGATGGTTACTATACAGAGCAGGCTCGGTGCAGACGGCAGGATGAAAGGAGGTATGACCGTTCAATAGTAAGCCAACATCAAGGAAACTATGGGGGAGGCGAGTAGGATCGTCAGGACAAAGAAAGCGAACGTCATCATCCCCATTAAGAAACTGTGAGAGATGTGATCCGTTAAGAGTACCCGCAGCGAGTGTTGTGACGGCACCGAGTGTGAGCTCTTTCAAGAGAAGACTTGACCAACACTGGAGCGGGTTCAGGTACATTCAGGAGCCGGTGCATGCCCAGTATTTACCAACAGTGCGTGACAGAGACGTGACCGATCGCCCGGGCGGCTAGCGAGCCGATCTTTTGGTGAAGAATATAAATGAAAAGAGACGTGACCGATCGCCCAAGCGACTAACAAGCCGATCAGTGGCGAAGAGGATAAAAGTAAAAATATCAGATCACAGGCTAAGTCCACTGCCAAACAAGTCTTTAACTCTCAAAATAAAAACTATTATACATAGAATTTAATATTTAAAATGTATATGATGACAAAAAACGACACAGATTAAGGTTGTGAGTTCTTGGAATAACCTGCCAGAGAATGTTGTGACAGCACTAAGTAAAAAATTCTTTTACGTCCAGATTTGACCAATACTGGCACAATGTTTAAGTACTGTACTTGCAATAGCCCATACATGCCGTGCTTAGTAACTGTGTAGCAGAGTAGTGACCATAGGCTAATCTAGTATTTTATATAATATTGTGTTTATTAAGAGACAGCCAAGACACG